TTTGAAACTTTAAATAACATGGGAAGAACAAGCTGTCATGGGAAGCCCTTACCACTAGGCCACTAAGCTCCCTTCATGTTTCTTAATTGTCTTAAAAATAAAAAATCTTAGAGAAAATAACTTAACTGCTAAAATTTGACGTATATAAGAACTGTAAAACCCAAAGTTCAAGACCTAGGCCAGATAGAACACAAAAAGAAAAAAACCCAGGAACATGACAAAGCATTGCATTTCTAGAGATAGATAGATTTAAACCAGACATGCTTTTCTTGCTTTAGAATTTGGAACTTGTATCAGATGCTTCCTTCGACACTCTTCACAGGGTAAATTCTATGATTCTTGTCATTTTAAAACAGTCTTTGATGTTTGCATAAGATTATAAATCAAGGAAAGCATTTTACAAATTATAAACATCTCTGCCTTTCTTTAAAAATGTAGATTGCTCACAAAAAAAATTAAGCCTTTGGGGGAAGACTTTAAAAACTCCCATCTTTCAAAAGCATTCTTGGCTGCTACGTTGCTGGCTGCAGCTGCAGTGCACTTGACATTGCTTTTTACTCTTTTGTGCGGCAGTGTGTGTGCCTCCTGATTCAGGAGAGAGGAACAGGATGGAAAAATAACTCGTTGCAAGCATGACTTTGATGTTCATCCAGCCACACACTGTGATCGTGCCTCCTCTTTTACAGTCCTCAAGCACAGAACAGGCTAGAGGGACACATACTGCCATGCAAACTCCCACACAGCAGGATTGTTACAAAAGCTGTTGCAATCTTTTAAAGCAGGAGTTCAATACAATGTGGTGTTTGTTTTAAGTGTCCTGTGTGGAGGAGCCAGTGCATGCTAATTGTCTAGAGAAAAGAAAAAAAATCTCATTCTTCTCTAAATGTCTTTCACCCTCTTTTGATTTTATTCTTTCCTCCTTTTAGCTAAAATGACCTAAACTATAGAACTAGAAACCCAGGCAGAATTTACAGCATATGAAGTTCTCTAACCACTCAGCCATGTGACTTTCCAGTCCCAGGCATAACAGGAATATTTGCATACAACAAGGTGCTCCCTATTAATTACCATTGATGTGAAGCCAGGAAGGGTCTGGTGAATGAAAGGATCAAAACACACAAGTTATTGTCACTCTTCTATTACACACCTTTTCTAATTTGAGTCCAGCCCCACCCGCATTACCCCAGACACTGAATCAATCCACCTCATAGAGGGTCTTCCCCTCCTGCGCTGTCCCTCCATCCTTCCAAGCATGATGTCCCTCTCCAAGGACTGGTTCCTCCTTGCAACATGTCCAAAGTATGTTAGATGGAGCCTCAGAATCCTTGCCTCCAAGGATCCACCCACTTTAATCCTCTCAGGATGAACCTGTTTGCTTTCTGGGCAGTACATGGTGCAGTAAATACTCTTCTCCAGCACCAAAGCTCAAAGGCATCAATTCTCCTTCTATCCTCCCTAGTCATTGTCCAACTCTCTGATGCTTAACAAGTGATTGCAAAGACCATGGCATGTATCAGGCGCACCTGAGTCTCCAGAGTGACACCACTGCTCTCCAGCACTTTGGAGAGGTCTCTAACAGCAGACTTTCCCATCACAATACGTCTTTAAATGTCATGGCTGCTGGTGCCAAGAGTGTTGACCGTGGAGCCAAGCAAACTAAAGCTGTGACCAATCTCAATCTCTTCATCGTCCATCCTGATGCTGCCAATTGGTCCAGTGGTGAGTATCTTTGTCTTCTTGATATTGAGCTTCAATCCAGATTGAAGACTGCAGTCCTTGACCCTCTGCAGCAAGCAATTTAGGTTCTCCTCAAGCAGAGTTGTGTCATCTGCAAAACGCAGATTATTGATGGATCTTCCACCAATCCTGATGCCACACCAAAAAGGCACTCAGTCCTCCCCGGATTTATTTATTTTTACACACATACACACATGTGTATTATATTTATTTTTTATTATATTTCTTTGTATATATTTGTATATATAAATCCTGGGAGAACTGAGTGCCTGGTTGGTGGACCAAAAATCAACTTTGAAGTTTAGTGAGTACAGCTTTGATCTGGAGGGTCTCCTGTCTGGATTCTAATCCCTCCACCTCAGCTCTAGGATTCTGTCCTCATGCTGCTCTGCGCTAAAATGTTAATGGCGAGGATTTATGGTTTAAATTAACATAACTTTCATCTTGACAAATTTTATTTCTTGACATAAATTCTCAGGAGTTTACAATAAACACTCAAAGCAAATGTATGCACACAGACTGGGAAATCCAAACTTTAGATAATTGTTGACTTCATAAGTGTGGTTTAAAGTCTTAGTAAATTTGAGTTGGTATTTCAAGTGGTATCACCTTCTAACTAATAGATTGGATATGTTTGTCTTTGAGAAAACTAAGTGATTTCGGAAGAGTGTGTGTCTATAGTTTTCAAATAATCATTTTTATAGCTATTGCATTGCCAATCCAAAGGATAAGCTACTGCAGTTTGAATCACCAGCCACTGTGGAAAAAAGATGGGTAATCTCCTCTCATTGTTATTTATAGCCTCAGAAACCCAAATGGAGGGTGGCTATGAGTTTAAACCAAAGAAAAGACAGTTTAATTTTTTGTGTTTTGGGGTTTTTTTAATGACCAATTCTATAATTTAATATTTTATTTCCATTTTTTATACTGTTGTTGTTACTGTCTTCGAGTCGAGCATGACTCATAGCTACTCTATGAGCAAAAGGCTTGAAGCCCCTCTACAACTATCGACATTTATCAAAGTACATAGAGTTTCCAGAGGCATGATGTTTAGGAAGTGGATGCTACTGCTTCCAAACCTGTCATAGCATGTTACTGTTCATTGAGTCACCTGCAATGCATAACAACCCTATGTACAGCAGCTCTGTCCTGAGCCAGTCTCAAGAATTCTGAAACACAAACCCCCATTACTCCAGTTACTGTATCAATCCATCTCATCCAGAGTCTCCCTCTTCTGCACTGTCCCTCAATGCTTCTGAGCATGATGTCCTTCTCCAAGAATCAATATCTTCTGGCCACATGCCCAAATTAACTAAGGTGGAGCTTCAAAATCCTAACCTCCAAGGAGAGACTTGGTTTCACACTCTCTAAGACAGACTTATTTGTTTTCTTGGCAGTCCATGGTATGTTCAAGACTCTTCTCCAGCACCACAACTTAAAGGCATCTATTTGTCTTCTGTCATCCTTAGTCATTGTCCAATTCTCTGAAGCATAACAAGCAATTGGAAAGACCATGGCCACACATTATTATAATAATATAATAATGCAGCAACAGCTTCTGCAGAGAACCAGAAGCCGACATGAGACAGAACTGACTCAGGACTGCTGCCTGAAAGAGCAAGAGTCAGAGATCTTTACCCAAACTTGCTAGAGGACTGAGGAAAAACACCATAATTGGCAGGTGTAAGCGTTGCTGTGATGCTAAACACTGTGAGACACTGATGTGTCAAATGTGATAATGGTTACCCATAGTGGACAGTGTTTGGTGGAGCTTCCTGATTAAAACATGCTTGGAAGCAGGAGTGGCATTTACTTTTTTGCCTCTGGAAACTCTATGAACCTGGAGAAACAATGAAACCTATACAAGTGTTTAGGTCTTTTGTTCAGTGTCACTATGAGTCGCCTACAACTCGATAGCACTTAACAACAACACGTTTAATACATACATATATATATATATATATATATATACACATGTACACGCACATATATGCATATATGCACATAAATACACATATATACATACACACACATACACACTTGTTTTGGAAGCAGGAGTGGCATCCATTTCCTAAATAACATGCCTCTGAAAACCCTATGAATTTTGATAAATGTCAGTAGCTGTAGAGGGATTTTAGGCCTTTTGTTCACAGAGTTGCTATGAATCATGCTCGAATTAAAGGCAATCAACAACATATATACTTGCTGTTGAGTACCATCTAGTTGGAACTGACCCATAGCTGACTTGCCAGTGGGTTTTCAGAGGCAGTTAGTCACATGGGAGGAGATTACCCATCCTTAGGCCACTGGAGCGTCGTGTGTGTGTGTGTGTGTGTGTGTGTGTGTGTGTGTGTGTTTGAAAGAAGACAATATAAGAAAGACATTTAATTGTGTGCTTCAAATGCATGTGATAGGTGAACAAAGAGTAAGGAAGATAAAGTAGCATCAGTGTCTTTGAATTATGGTGTTGGGAAGAAGTGCTGAATATAGAGTGGATCGCCAAAAAATCTTGTTAGAAGCAGCACAGCCAGAGTGTTTCCTAGGCAAGGGTGATGAGACTTCGTCTCACGGATTTTGGACATGTTGTCAGTAGGAGCCAGCCTCTGGAGACAATATCCTGTTTGGACAAGTGGAGGGTCAGAGAAGAAGAGGAAGACCCTCAATGAGATATAACAACACAGTGGCAATAACAATGGGCTGGAGCACAGCAACACATGCTCAGGGAAAGTTTAGAACTGCTGTACGGAGGGTCTCCCTGAGTGAAGTTGGTTTGGCAGCATCTAACAATAACATTTATACAGGTGCTTTTCTCCATAAATCATATGCATCTATGCTGATGACATCTCATATTTCTCTATACTAATAAGGAAACATTTCTTTTATATATTAATCTATACAACTCTTCCAAAAAACATGTTATTAATGTGGAATTTTAAGACTACTGGTACTTTTAGAAGATATGTTTTTGCCTACATTACAAGCCATTCCCAGATAGTAAAGTAGATCATACCCTAAGATCTTCTAAAAACATTCAGGAAAGCCTATTAATAATTGCTTAATATAAAGGATCATCTTGGAAAGTTGTAAATTAACATTGAAATTTAATACATCTGTGATATCTGGAGTAAAAGTCTTTGAAAACTTACTAAAAGTGATAAAAATATCTGCACAAATTCATTGTTATTTAGACAGGAATTTTTAACATATTTTTCATATGACTTTTATATTTTACTTTTTTGCTATTATTAAAAGAAAATACTTACTCTTCCATGTATATTTTCCTGTAAGAGAAGGGGAAATAAAGTGAAATAATGTAAATTTACATATTTTAATAACATCCAACTGTTAAAACATTTACCTCTTTATTACATAAAATACGTAACTTTCATGACTGTCCATCCTATATAACTATCTTTATTATTTTTTAATCAGTTCTCTAGAATTTTGTTTTAGTATATATATAGTTTTTAGTCCATACTTTTTTTTTTTATTTTGTGTGAGTGTGCCGTCAAATCAGATCTGACTGGTACAGGAGGATATTGCGACTCCTTCTCCGGCAGAGCGTCTCGTGGATTCTAGTCCATACTTTTTTTATAAAGTTAAATACTATTCATGCTGATTATAAGTAGGAAACTAGACAATTTGGAAACAAATGGAATAAAGTTTCTTTCATTTAATGAAAAAAACTCTTTGGCATAGCAATAGGGGAAATCAAGATTATAAAGGAAATGTTTCATTAACTTGGCAGAAAACTATTATCAACTACTCTATATTATCTCTGTATATACTATTATACAGATTGCAAACAATTTGCAAACAATTAATCTAATGCATAAAGTACTTGCCACTAAAATATTCACCAAGTATTGCTAACTTCTGTGGCTTACATTTTGCTCTAATAAACCCAAATTCCATGCCAGGCAAGGCTCTACTTCATTTCCTATTAGTCACTCACCTCATCTGCGACAACCACACAGATACCCCCCTATTTCCAAAACCGCCCTCCTGCTCTAGGTCTTTGAGCGTGCTATTCTTCCTGCTTGGATCTATATTCCTAGAGGTATTTTTGCATCTTACTCCATGCCAGGCTTACCCTCAAATGTCCCTTCTTATTGAAGCCTCCATGTTTCAGTGATTAAAGCACTGGGAGACTAATCAGAAGGTTCTTGGTCTCCATAAGAATTTATACCTTCAGAAAACATGTGGGCGATTCTTTCCTGCCTTACATGGTCAATATGAGTTGAATTAACTCGATGGTAGTAGATTTGATTTGGAATTAAAGGCTCCTTTGATTAAAGAAGAAAAAACAAAACCACAGAGTTGTACCATGTGCATAGTTGTGCCGTCTTTGATCAAGGAAAAAAACCCAAAACCCAAACACAAAGAGTTACACCCTATGCGCCAGTTGTACCCCTTTACTTTTTATAACCATTTGTCTGCTTTATTTCTCCGCATATCGGCTGCCATGTTATAATATAGCATATGCCTTTTTTACTGTGCTTATTACATATCTTTCTCCTCCACAGGGGCAGATTCGTATTTTCTTACACCAGAATTTTAGAAGCAGACATTATCCCAGAATAGGAAAACTCGTTAAACTCATTGCCGTTGAATCAGAACTGACTCATAACTGGCTCTCCTTTAGGTTTCCCAGGCTGTAAATTACACAGGAGGAGATTGGCTATCTTCCTTCTGAGGAACCGCTGGTGTATTCCAACAGCCAGAGAGAGGCACCAGTGAAAAGATCAGCTATGGGTCGGGTCTGGCTCGAAGGCAGTGAGAGAGAAAACAAGACTCTTAGAGACTTTGTCCAAACATGATGCCAAGTGAGAAGGGACAGAAAACATTTCCAAAGTGGATCCTTTCTACTTTTTTTACTTGGAACAGTTCATTAGAATATGAAAAATTGTAGAATGGGGAAAGCAAGTTGAAGTCTGCTTTTAGAGTTTGTATTTATAAGCTTTTAGTTTCCTCCTTGAGGGACCTGTGACAGTAGCAATGGGATCAAAGTGTCTAGATGAATGAAAGAAGTTGGAAGTTTTCCTCCTGAGAATGGTTGTCTTGCTTAGGAAAAAGAAACATATAAATAAATTTATAATAACTAGACATGATGCTCACTGCTAACCCGAAGGCTGTGCTTCTCTGGTGGTTTGGGTCCACCAGTAACTACACAGAAGAAGGATGGGTCATTTCTTCTCGCCAGATTTATGGTTTCAGAAACCTGAGGTAGAGTTAGCAAGGCATGAGTTCTAACTCACTCGCAATGAATTTGAGACGTAGGTGTGTGCGTGGGTGTGCGTATGGTGTTTTAAAAGAAAGCTAGAAACGTACCCTCCACTCATCAAAATTTATAAAATCTCTTTTGTACTTTTTCTATTACAAAATAGAAATTTTTAGAGCCTTTGAAATGCAGAGAGGGAATTTCGGAGTTATTTATAACCAGAAAAACAGAAAAGAAAAAAAAAGACAGCAGACTATTCAAATTATAGCTTTGCTTGCATCTATAGCTATTAAATTTTTCACTTTCCTCAAAGATCAGAAACCTTAAATAACTCCAAAGAGACTAAGTAACTGGATCTTTAGCTAATAACTTTCATACATTTTGAGGCAGGATTAATGCAATATTTCACATAAATTTAGGAGTCATTAATGAGGAAGGCACAGGATAGGGAAAGGTCTAGATCTGCTGTCTATAAGGTGGCTAGTCCACTTAAAGGCACTTAACAACAATGAGATTCTCTAAATACTCAGTGGTGAGTATATAAAAATTTATAACTTTCTAATTTCTAGATCAAAGATGCAGATGTAGTGTTGTTTCTGGATGGTTTTTAGTTTTTTCTTCTTAGGGTCTCCAAATTCTGAAATTTCTGCTTGGACTGTGTTACATATTCATGAACTACATCTGCCTACTTCCAGAAAAGTGGGAGTTAAACACTGAAGGCCTGACTTCTGCCTCTAAAGTAGTTTATAACTTGAGTGCATATCAAAACATCCCTTAAGGGTGCTTGCTAATAGTACAGTCTCCTGGACTGAATTTAGTCCTCATCTCCCTTTTCCTAAAAATAAATAAATAAATAAAAATATCTGGCTTAGCATAAGATTCTACACTTTGAATAAACATGCATCTCTCGTTAACCAGATGCAGAGAATGACACAGAAACACTGCCCTAACTTTTTGCAGTAAATCATTGCCCTAACATTGCAAAATGACTAAAAATTACTTTCTGGATACAAATACTATTTTCTCTTTTAAAAGATAATAGGCTTCAAAGAATAGCCAAAGGTTATAAGCCCGAGCCCCTTACAGAGCCAGGAAATATCTCTGCCTCTCTTTTGGAAATTAGTCTTGAACTGTACCGTGACAGCTTATGGTGTGTTATTTAGATTAACTCTTGTATTGTTATTAAACTCTCCAGATGGCTTTGTTTATCTAGCCAACTAGAGTGTGTGTTTCTGGGAGGCAAGAACTATGCATATATATATATTTTTCAACATTATCTCACATTCTTAATAAATATTTATTAGGCCCTCAATAAACATTTAAATTTTAGTTAAATTGCAACCTAAGTTGCTTTAAATCTACTTTAGCTTCTGAAGCATGAAGCCACTTCTCTTTTGGATATTGCTTCAAACCAAGTTATTCCAATATCTCCTTGCAGGGCAGAAAATGAAAGCCACGCCTAATATTCATTAGAAATTGGGAACTGTGTATTTGAGTTTTGATATTTAGCCACAAGGAAAAGGCACAGCGACAGTAATAGCTTTGACTGATTACTTGGCAGGGGAAACCAAGCCCTTGGGGTGTTCCAGAATCTTTTTGGCCTATAAACCTGTTTGAAAACCTGTTTTTTAGAATTTAAAGCTTAGCTCAATCGAGGTCACTATTATAGTGATGTCAATAATTCTACTACCCTTGGCCTTTAGGCAGACCAGTGCAATTAATCATTAACTTTGTTTTCATGGAAAAGGTAACATTTAGGAAAATGTCTCTAACTTAAGTGATTTTTGTTTTGATTTTCTTTCCCTCATGTAATAGTTCTGCCAATCTTGCTTGCTTTGGATTTTGTACTTTCTAAACCATACAGCTCCTTCCAGTGCCTGAAATTATTTTCTGAAATCAGAATGGTTCTACATCCACAAGATATAGGGCGTCACCAGGGAGATAGATAACTTCAGGCTTCCAGAAAAAGAGCTAATAAGCCACTGGGCCTGAAAGTAATTTTCAGTAATTGGGACTTCACGTGGGCCCCAAATAATCTCTGACTTTTGCTGTTTTGTTACGGGCACAATTTTGAACTATACTGCCTACTAAAATGTTCTAGAAAGGCGTTTTTTCTTTAAAAATTAAAAACTCAATGGTTAATAAACTCATCTTCCACCCCCCATCTTTGATCAGGCTACTTCTTTGTGGCCAGCAGTTAGGAGCAGTGCTCAAAGTAGATTTTCTTCATCCTTCATAAGAACTTCCATTCAGAGGGTTGTAGCTGGGGTGAAGATTTAAGGTAATCATGCTATCTGTTCATCTGCTCTATTTATTATGTGAAGTCCTTTTGCTTCTCGTACAAACCTCAAACTCATCGCAGTTGAGTTGGCATTGACTCATAGCTGACATTCCAGATGATTTTCTGCTCTACATAGGACAGGAGGAAATTGTCCATCTTTCTATCAAGAGCCTGCTGGGGGATTCGAACAACCAGCAAGGTTCCACTGTTGGATTAACAATACAACTCTCTACAAACTAGACATCAGTGTGATCAAAAAGGAAAATGGCCCAAGAAAAGGTATTTATTGAGTCACGTTTTGCCATTTGTAGAAGGAAAGAGAAGTGTAAAATTTACTCAGATCCCAGACGATACCTTACTCTTCTCTAGGCAAAAAAAAGAATTTGTACATAGAAAACATGGTTTCTAACATATGACTTTATTAAGATGGATCCTACTTCAAATGCCTGTGCATTGGTTTGCTGAGCTAAACGTAAAATAATAAAGAAATTATTAACTGGGCTATTCATCACATACATATATTTAAAAGTTATCTTATCATAGTAAACTACTTACAGAGAGGGTCTATGTCTTTTTTCTATTTTTCCCCTCCTAATTCTCAGCATCTAGAACTATGCTTGGCATAAACAATAAATACTTGGAATAAACAATAAATACTTACAACTCATTGACTTTAATGAATGTAGTCTTTTCCATTGGCAAAAAAAATGGTTAGGGAACTGCAATAATTTAATGTTCACTTAAGAACACTAAAGTTAATTAATTACATAATTTATTTTTAATCTATCATGCTCAGTTTTAATACACTTTCGTATTCAATTTTGACCTAAAAAAGAAGCCTCCATAATAGTCCCAGTTAGTCCCTTGATTTAATTTTAATTCAACCACAATCTTCTCTGTCTGTATTGCTGTTAGTTATTACAGTCAGTTCAGATCCAGGGCGACCTCACATGTACAGAATGGAGCTCCCCTATAGCTTTCCAAAGCTGGGATATTTCAGAGACAGGCTTCCAGGCCTGACCTCCATGGCATCCCTGAGGGGTAAGAACCTCCAACCTTTTCAGCTTAACCGTGTTAAGCTTTTGTCCATAATGTCATTCTTGTTGTATGCCATCAAATAGGAACAAAACTCATAGCTGACCCTCCATGGGTTCTGACTCCATGGCGCTCAACAGTAACAACAAAACTGCACAGGAAGAGATAGGCTGTCAAAGTTAACACCGTACACTAAGCTGCCAGGATCCATTGCCGCTGTTGAGTGCCATCAAGTGACTCACAGTGATCAGAATATTGCCCAATTCTATACCACTTTGCCAAATTAAAAATTCAAGCTTACTACCATGTAGTCAATTCCAAGTCATAGAGACTCTTCATTACATTTCTAAGGCTGGAAATAATTGGCATTAAGGAGAATACTCTTCTTTCTCTCGTGGAGTAGCTGCCTGAGACGTGCAGCCTTTGTGTTAGCAGTCTCTCTAAAGATGCCACTGAAGCTCCCCTTTGTCCATATTAGAACTTACATTTCTGACACCTCTTCTAGTAGTAATAGAAAAGAGGTGTGCTAAAGGGTCAGTTTTACCAATGTCTTTCCTCAGTTCTTGAGCTCTTTCCAGAAGAAAATAACTTTTATTAGTAAAAAAAGACAAAATTAGAACCCTTGGGTGATATGGGGCTAGAAGAGTCATTTTGGTGCATCTGGTAGAAACCTGCCTATACAGTAATATATCAAACACCTGCCTATATGTATACATATAAATAAAATCAGAACAAAAGACAAATTGGGGCTTATTAAAAGAAAGTGGGCTAGTAAGGATTTCAAAGCCTATTTTATTCACACTTTCTTCTTCTCAGCCTGATTATTATAGTGAATAATACTTTTTGTGAGGGTAAAATAATTATGATTTTGTAGCATGGTACTTCCCAAAATTTCAGAGATCATGACTAGATGCCCTGACACTAACTTGAAGCACATCTGAACAGGGGAGTGTCTTATGTCCTCCATTCCTTGCCCTCTCTTCCTTCCATCTCACTGGGTGAAGGGAGGTGGAGGGGTATTCAGAGTCACAGGGCATGCTCTAACTTCCTGGCTCATGCATTTTAGTGGTCACAAAGTCACATGTTGTCACCTAGATTCCCTGGACTGTGGGAGCAAGCAAATAGCCACAACGTTAAGAAGAGATTTTCCCCTTCTCATCGCAGCTTTTGATACTGCATTACCCTCTCTCTGTATGGAGCCCTGAATCTCCCCCCATGTTATTTTTATTCATCCTTGTGGGGGGGAAAAAGTCAATCAAGGCTTCTAGCATGTCAGCTTTTCATAAAGGGAACACAAAGCCGAGCTCCCTGCAAGCCTCATAAAACACAGGATTTATGGGAGATCTTTCATCTACATCCATTTAAAATGTTCCCTGCTAGGCAACTGAGAGTGGATGAAAATCATCATTTGAAAAGATCTTACTTTAAGGATTGGATACAGTGGCTCAAATGCTGTTTCAGCTCTTCCTCCTTTTCATAGGACTCCAGTACACTGTGCGCCTCATCGTGATGATAACAGTAGATCTTATAAATATCTTCCAGTGGACTTTTCATCTGCAAGAATACGTCTCCTGATAAATGTAAAACAAAAAATGACATGACATCAAGTCAGAGCAATCTGGCACCTCACATGTTTAATATTTAGCAATGTTGACTAGTATTAAAAAGTTGGTCAGGTCTTGCTTTAGGAGGGGAAGAAGACTGAATGATTTTCCATGCCAGCTTTCTCTCCCCTTTCTTCCTTCTCTTTCTTCCTCCTTCACCTCTTTTCTCCTTCATTTTTCTTTTTTCTTAAAATGTCTTTCTATTTTCTTTCCTTTCTTTCTATATTTTTCCTTCCTTCCTTCCTCCCTTCCTCCCTTCCTTCCTTCCTTCCTTCCTTCCTTCCTTCCTTCCTTCCTTCCTTTCTTCCT